TGTCCTGCTGATTCATCTTCATCTTAGGTCCTTGATCTTCCTGCAGAATCTCAAGTTTTGTCTAATGGCCTTTGAACGTGTTGGGTTGACTTTATATTGCAAAAGAACATTCCCCTCATAATTAAGTAAAATGCATACCGCACTGGTTGCACCTTCATAAAGCACATGACTTGTACTAATTTGTATTTTCCACTCTGCGACTGAATTTCTGACCCAAAGTGAAAAATAATTGTGCTGTTGGTATTGGACTGTTCAAAATCCATATTATTGTATGGATCACTAGTGAACTGCATCATTTTTATGCCTGTGTTCCTTGTTAAGTGGAATTTAGTGTGAACTTTTTTCCCTTTCCTATGACTTACATACTCTCAAAATCTGCTTTCTCTTTTTTTAGCAGTTTTGACTAATTGGCTAGTTTGCATTGAAGAAAAGTATGAAAGTAATTTTTCACATCATGCATACAATAAGACATCTTTGCTCAAAAGCTGTCCTATTTCTAGCAAAATCATGCTTGCCTTACTTAGGTGAGTAAGTCATTTTTGCCTTTTTGCTAGTAATATGTGGTATAACACAGCAGGTTTTTTTCTGTGAGAAAAGGCAATAAAATTGTAATAAAATGTAAAGAATTTAGATCTTCCAAGAGCTCTTAATTTTATGAATATATCTCACATGTCTAATTGCTTTGAGAGTGTTAGGGGAAAATAGCATAAAGCACTCTGGATGTCCCCCCACCACTACCTTTTCTTTTGTTACTTTTATTTATTTCTATTGTTTTATATGTGAAAATAAATGTTTAGAGTAAAATCCTGGCCTCACTTAATTAAATAGGAATGCTGTCTTTGATTTCAGGGAGATCAGGATCTCACCCTTAATTCACTGTGATTGTTCCTGCAATGGCATTGGAAGTAGCATTATGTATACAGTGGCTCAAGCCTGCAAGATGCTGAGCACTCTAGCCCTGATCTAGGAAATCACTTAAGCACATGCTTAACTTTAAGCATTTGAGGAGTCACACTGGTTTGCATGATTTGCTGGATGAAGGCCAGAGTGCTCAGCACCTTGCAGGATTGAGCCCCCAACGTCCAAGGTTTGTGAAGCCCTTTACCCATAAATAAGGAGACCCCTGCCCCACAGGAGCTTGCAATGTAAATAATTGTGAACTGTCAGTGTGCTCAGAGTTCCTCCGGTAAAACTGAGATGGCCTCAGAATGACTTGACAACTAATGACAAAAACCTATTTTGATTTAATAGCTTTCCCTGATTTGCCTTTGTCCATCAATACTCTTCATGAAAAAGAGGGTGACATCTGGCTTCTTTTCAAACAACCAGAAAATATTGAGACACCATTGATAAGGATTTGACTCAACCTTTCAAATTTCAAACACTGCCAAATGGGGAGGCGGAGGGGGGGAGAGAAGGGGTGAGACTAAAAATTACTTCAGTGGGTTTTGTTTGTTTTATTTTTCTTTTTACCTGTACACAAATCTTTCCAGAACTTTCAAAGTATTAGTAATTTTAAAAAAATGTAAATATCAAAAATAAATTTTAGGAAGAACGTTTCCAAATATAGGCACGCTACGTACTTTGTATCACAGGATATAGTGGAGTGTACATCTGATTTAACCAGTTTTGTAATTAAATCTCTGAACAATGTCTAGAACTAACCTGAAGGAAGCAATCAAAGCCTCTCCTAAAGTGTCAAATTTTGGATAACTTCAAATAAATCGATAGTAGATATCCATATTATAAAATCCTGCTCTGAGCACAAGAGTCTGTTTGCGAAACACAATTTTTATCTAACAATTACAAATTCCATAGAAATATCTGCCTGCTTTGCTTTCTGTGTATCTACCTCATTATAATAGCTTTATGCTAATAGTAGAATAATGAAGGCTTAGTAACAGGCAGTTTCTTTCTCAAGAATAGCCTTCTGTTCCTTCTATACTATTCTCGGATAATTTATAGTATGTGGAGTATAAACCAGAAGTCCAATATGATTTCATAAAACAAAGAATAGCAAACTACTTCTATACTGGTCAGCATTGGACATCTTTTTTTCAAACCATGGTGTTGCAAGAGTTTAACTTAGAATGGCTTTAAAGGTTAACAAGTAATAAAATAGTCTTCAGAGGAACTTGAGCGGCAAGGTAGCAGTACCTACTGATCCACAAATCTGAGAGAAGTCCTCTTTTGCAGGTCTTTGAACTTCCTCTCTATGGATTCTGACCTTTCCTGGTCCTTCTGTTACATTCTTCCATCCCTTATGTGGTGGGCACAGGGCAGTGACACAAACATCTTGTCAGTTTTAACTGGGAATATTTAAATCAAAGATTAGAAAAAGTCATTTCAGCCTGAACTATTATATTTACAAAAGGCCTTTTGCTCCCTCTACAGAAGGTGGTTGAAAACTACAATGCAGACAGCTATAGAATTTAGTTCCATAAATCTTCTTCTGTTTTTCAGTAGAGATCTGCCCTCGGTTATTAGTGTATTCACAAAATAAATTGTATTCCTGCCATTCACAGCTTGTTTTTTTAAAGTCAAAAGAATATTAATGATTGCAGGAAAGGATATCTGAGAGGTTTCAAAGAACTAAGGAGCTCCAGACTTTGAATATGTTTAGCAAATGTCTCACATACGTCATTCTAGTGCAGCAGTCCTTTTGCTTTCTCTCTCTGCTTTTGCAGACCTCGTGATTTGCTAGATCTATAGTGGCCACACTTATCCTTTTAAAGTAGCATCTGGAGTTTGGTAGTCATGAGACACTATTTAGTATAAATGATAAAAAAAACACTGCTTTCCATCAAGTACAAATGCACTGTGCCAGATGCTTCAATACTTTTTGTTTTGGTTTTTGGGGTTTTTTTTGTGAAAACAGGAAGCCAGGAATGGCTTGATAAGGAGTTCAGTTCAGCTCTATTCCCTTAACAAAATCAGCTGGACCAAAGGACTAGACATGAAGCCCACTCCCCTTTCAAATTCAAGTCTCTCTGTGACTCTCAGCCCTCCCTCCATCCATTAAACAGATGTGCCTGGCAGTGTGGCTTGAAGATCTATAAAATCTCAAATCTGTTGTCCATGTAAGCGATACAATGCATGAAAATGGTCAGGACCATACGTGCATTTGTTCTAGGTGCACCTTTTCAGAATGAGCAGTACACCCATTATTGATTGCATGATATTTCATAACCTGTTATCCAGATTATTTTAAGGCAGTTCACTCCTTACCATTATTATTCAATTAGTTTAAGACTCAAACATTGTCTATGACTGTTTCATTTAAGGTTGGAAGTAAATGACAACCATAAGAAAGCTTTACCATTTCCTACTGAGGGTGTTTTGTGAATTTTTTTATTAGATGTGGAATGTAATCATTATAAACATAGGTTTACAGTAAGGAGTGGAGAGCAAAACAAAATTGGTCACTAGAGATAGACCGTGTCCAGTCATCACTTACCAAGATCAAAGGACCGAATATCAGCCTTGTTCGTAAAGGTTTTCTCTTTTCATAGTGGCACTTTCCGTGTGTCGTTGCTAGCTGATGAATTACATTTTGTATATAATTTTGTTTATACTCAGTTTATGATTAGAGTACTTTCTTCCGTTTTTGTATTTTTAAAGCCAATCTCATACTTGTTACTAAGGCCAGGTAGAAGAACATGGGACTGACTGTGTATGGGAGGAAACCTTTCCCAGGCTGTGCAGTGGTAATATTTGACGGCTCTTGCGACCTCCAGCACTGCAATAGCGATTGCTTTGGTGGTGTTTATTCCTCTTCCTTTAGCAAGGGACTTGTTGGATTTGTGTGGCTACTGACCCACTGCCAGTGTTCCTTCTTATTCCTGCCGGATCCAGTCCCCTCCACATGAGTGTAAAAGGCGATTCCATTGAGCTGGGCTTTGCAGAGTACAAGCAGTGTGCAGTCCCCAGAAAGTACTTCTGTGCTCCTCCTCCACAATTCAGTATGACTTAATTGGGTTTGCTGGGCCCTCTGCATCAGTATAGGCAGGTGACAGATGAAAGGGACAGGGTCCTAGAAGTGCCTGTATTTTTATTGTTAACTCCAGTGTAGCACGTGTAGTCTGATCAGAAAAAGCAGGTTTCTCTGTTGCTTCAGTAGTGAGAGAGGCCTGAATCATAACCTGAATTCTGGGAAAGTTTGGATCTGCAGCCAAATCTTGTAAGTCAGGCCGCACACCAGCACTGATTTCCAACCTGTAGCTGTTCAACTACAAATGACATCTTCATAGACTACTAGAATTCTATGGAGGGGAAGGATAGCTCAGTGGTTTGAGTATTGGCCTGCTAGACCCAGGGTTGTGAGTTCAATCCTTGAGGGGGCCATTTAGGGATCTGGGGCAAAAATTGGGGATTGGTCCTGCTTTGAGCAGGGGGTTGGACTAGATGGATGACCTGCTGAGGTCCCTTCCAAACCTGATATTCTGTGATTCTATTCTAAGAATTCACCACATCCTTGTAACAATGAGGGCAGTTGTGTAGGAAGGTAAAATGACAATTCAAAAACTAAATCTAAAAAACACAGACAAACCTGTGACGGGGCAGAGTTGTTGCTAGAATCAGATTTGGTGAATGTCAGCTCTCTTGTTGAGCCCCTCAAAATATTGTTGTCTTACTGTAACCTTCATTTAGCTCCTTTGATAAATATAATCAGGTTAAGCTTCTTATATGGATGTTTTGTATTCTAAATCTATTTAAGTCTGCATGGCTCTCTGCTACTCCATTTGATGACAGAGTAGCTCTCTGGCTGTCCAAGGTTTACCAACTGCTCCACTGTACGGTCTTAAGAATGGGTGATATGGGAAGGGGAAAAACAATCTCATAATTTTGTTTAGTCTGACAGGAAATCTCGCTGTGTTACTGTCTTATAAACTGGTGACATTTACGAGAAATTTTTTTCTTTAGTGTTGGATCAAGCATGGTTCTTCAACAGTTAAACTGATGCTGGGCATGTTTGTTTGTTTTTTTTCCCCCTCTCTTAGGTGCGTCATTCCTGTAACAAATTCGCTTGCTGAGAAATCAAGGGAACACGTAGAAGAAGATGAGTACAAGATTCCTTCTTCCCATCCTGTATCCCTGAGCTCCCATCCACCTCACTGTCATAATATAAAACTTCATACTAGGTAAGGTAGCTTGCAGCATTGCACTGCTTTGGAGAGGAGAATAAAATCATTTCAGAATGAACTTTTGGCAGGTTTTCTAAAATCTAATTGGTTATAATCACGGTGAAGCTGTCTGCCTTCTAAAGGGTAATCTTTTCATGCTTGGGTTATTCATGCCCTTTTATTCCTCTGGTGGAGTTGAAGGAGAATAGAAGCCATTAAACTCTGTGGTTCAGAATTTAAGTAACAAAATGCAGAACACATTTGAATCAATATACTGTGACTATCAAAATACAGCAGTACTTCCCATGGTTTCACTCTCTCCTTGCCTTGTGTGTACCAGAGTTATAGCAACTTCTTTAAACTTTTAGAACCTATTTCACAGAAGACCTTCCTTTGTGTTTCACAGGAAGAAAACATTTTTCATTCAGGCTTAATATTTCTCTTTCACTTTAAATATATCTTAAAATAATATCTGCGAACTGTCAGTCTCTGAATCATTAAAGGGTTGTGGCAAGGAGATTTGGACTCAAGAGACATTGCAGCTGAAGGCTGTGTGGCTCATGGCAAACCTCTTGGTCCCTGACTCATAAAGCTAATCTGAGTGTGCGGAATGAAGATAATAATCAGGAGGAAGGCTGAAATATCAGAAGGGACCAATTACTAGTAGTCTTATAGGTCAAAAGTACTATCTTAAAATCAATTATTGATCTACTAAGTTCTGACTCTCTTCTGCAGCTTAAAATTCATTGATACATTAGGACTTTTTTTCCTTTCAGAATGTGATGTCAATGCAATAAAACTCAACATTCTCCTCATTCCAGGCTTAACCAATTAAGGTCTGATTTTACACATGTTTAATAAAAGAGATTTAGCCCAGTGTGGTGAAAAGGTCACTTTCTGATTACTACTTCTGTCGAAGTTATAAATTCCTGGAAATATAGGCTATTGTTGTTAACAGAATTGCTGACATGACCTTCTGTGCAAAGATGTGAATGTTTGACTGGTCTTTGGGTGTTTTCTAGTCATGTACCCTTAAACTCCCACCTATTCTTCTGGGGAAAGATTTTTTGATTTTTTTTAATAGACATTCAGTGTTACTGAATAGAATTGACTTTATGGGACAGACAGGATTTTAAAACTTTACATTTATGGACCTATTTATCAGGGGCTTTTTTGTTTGTCCCACTTGGGAACCTCAGCCGTGTAGTAGAGAGATGAGTTGCCTATATGAATGGAGGAAGATGGATGAAACATGAACATGCAAGAAAGAAGGAGAGTCCTGCGTAGGAATAAACTCCATTGGCTCTACAGCTGCCTAGGACTCCTACACTAGGGGAAGTCCCCAGATAAAGAATTATAGGAAATTTCCACTCCCTTGGTACCTCCTGTGTAGCACAAAAGGAGTGGAGTGGGGCTGAGAATCTTGTTCTCTATTTTGCAGACCATCACAGTTATAGATTTCAAAGCTGACTTTCCCACCATTCCATCTGGCCATTTGTTTTTAGCCTTGTTGATCCATAAGAGAGATTACCTTCAGCTGGTCATGGGTCCTTTAGACCAACAGTGCTAGCCTAGCACTAATCCAGGACATGCCACACAGAAAACTTCCTTAATTGTCAGTTAAAGTTGCTGCAATGATTTCATGTAATAACCCTTGTACAAATTACATATATAACAAGAAAGTGAGGCCTAAAATAAAAACCTGTGACACTTTAGAGAGTATAGAAATGATCTATTAATGAATTTATATAAATATTCTAAATGTTACATTAACTTTCTGCTGTTAGCTAATGTCAGTGCTGAAGTGTAAACATTCAAAATTATACATTTCACAAACAACCTTGATTACGACCAACAGCATATACTTAGGAACTGGAGCTAGGCAATATTTTTCATTCAAAAAAGGTTTTTGACAAAAAAAGGCTTATTTTGTAGAAATGACAATTTTTGTGTAAAATCACTCTTTAATTTTTGTTGCTGTTGAAAACACAAAAACTGAAATCTTTTTGTTTGTCAGTGTCTGAAAATTTCAGTTTTTTCACAAAAATTAGAAGAAAAATTATTTTTTTTTTTGCTTTAATAAAAAAATTGGCACCCCTTCTCACCTCTTGGTTTTCAGCAAGCTCTATTAAGAGCTTTTTTCAATGCATTTTTCATAAATGTGAATTTATTCAGCTGTGTAACTAGTATACATTTATTTGTAATATGCATATGCTGAAAGAGTTTGTAACTTTTTGTGGAGTCATACCAAATTCACGTTGTCACCTTCAAAACACATCACAAATGTTTGGTAAGCATGGGTATGCTTGGCCTCTCCATTTTGAAGTTAAATTGGAGTTTTTACACTCTGGCTGGCTGCTTCATGAGAGTGTCTAGTTTTCTGGCTGTGACAAAGACTTCATAAGGGGCAAAAATAATCGTGGGGTGGCTTAATTAAAATTCTGGATTGAGTCCAGATACTTTAAAGGAGACAAAGAGACTGCAGTTGTTATTGTGGATGTCATGTAGTTCATGGCTATTGAATTCCAACATCCTATTCTGCGCTTAATGAAAACATGTTTAATTTTGTGCCCATGTATTAGTATTATAGTACACTTCCAAAAGTCATATTATAATATACCAAATGGATTGCATTGTAGTTTTCTGTCTAGATTGTTAGTCAATTGATTTTTGTAGCTGACTTTATTTTATTCCCAGGTTTGTCTGTGTTATGGAAAGGAGAGAAAAGACAAGTGTCTCAGTAGAGCAGTCCCTACTAATATAACACAATTGTATCATTCTGTTTACAATGTTTCCCCAAAAAGTATTTCCTTAAAGAGGGAAAAAAAGTAGCTGGGATGTAGGATGTTTCATACTTGCTTACTTCGTATTTCTAGTGCCTGGTCACACTGAAGACATCCTCTTTGGCAGGGAGTTGTTAGGGTACTTTGTCGTCTATGGCTAGTGAACGTATGGAATATGGAGAGTAGACTCATAAAATAGGGCTGGAAGTGTCTTGTCTTGTTTTTTCCTTGATAAGGAGTCAAGGGTGGATTATTCCCTATAGTATATTTTTAGGTGACTTAATCAGTCTAGCTTCAAAGGACTCAAGCAATGTTTCTTCCTCCACTTCCATTGGAAGACTGTTCCAGAGTATAATAGGTCTCACCAATAGGAAGGTTTTTCTTCAGCTAGTCAGGAAAATAATTATTCTTTATTTTCATTTCATTTATTCCTATTTATAACTCCTGGGACCACACACAATTCCATTTCCTCTTTCCTGTTTATATGCTTTAAATAATTGCACACGCTTTATTCATCCATCCCTTCCATATGGCCAGCGTGTGTAGATTTATTTACATCCTGCTAATGGTGAAACTCTAGATCTCTCTAGCTTGAAAGGGTCAATGATTTGTGAGAATGGTGTATGTAATATGACCTATAGCCTTCCTCTAACTGAAGAAGCTTATTTTGATCCTTCCTACCTATACAAACGTTGCAGTTCTTGTCATAGAGTTGAGATGCCTCCATTCCTTGGTTTGTTTTTAACACTTGTTCAAATAGCACATAATTCACTATTGGGTGATTTTAGTTTCCTGTTTGTATCCTGAGCCTTTTAGCAGAGCTATCATATATTATCCATTAAGGCTAATTTGTATTTTTATGCCTGGATTTTCCGTAGTTTTCTACTTTATTGCCTGAATCACCAGGATTGCTAGTTCTGGGAAGTTTTAGCATCCAATTTGACTTAGACTTCTTTTTACGAACAATTTGTTTCCCTTTGGAGGAAAAGATAAAATTAAATATAAAAGACAAAGCAATACACCACTTTTTTGACAACAGAGGATCTAATGGAGACCCTCTAAATTGTTTTGGGCAGAGTTAAATAATTATTTTATTTTAAGAGTTTGACTAGGAATATTATGGACATGCACTATTTCCATGGGTTTGTTCTTGTTTAAAGGATTTTATTTCCAGTGTATTTACTGTTTGATTTCAGTAATACAATAAGGATAAATTTACATATGTAAGTTAACAGTATGGAGAAGTAGCATATTCTAGTAGACTGATCTTTGGGTTGAGAGTCAGGAACTCCTAAAGTCTAATCTCAGCTCTTCCATTATCTTGCAATGGAGGCTTGCATAAATTACTTAATTTCTGTGGCTCAATTTTCCCATCAACAGAATAGTGTAATTTCTCAGAAGGCTGTTGTGAGGATTAATCTGTTACTGTGTTTAACATGCTTTGAAAGTGAAAAACACTAGGAGTGTTTAAAAAGTTTTTATAACTTGCATTCCTCTATTTGTTTTGATGTAATCTATTGTGCTATAGTGTTCATTTTGTGATTTGGGGGATGAAAATTTGGGTGGTTGGTTGATTTCTTCCTTTGATCTCTGCTTTGAGGGTGTGCGAGAATGGTCATTGTGCTGGTATAATGAATGGAACACACAATGCTACTTCAGAGATGAAGAAATCCAAAACCCCGGAGTTAGGTATGTTTTTTTCATTTTTATTTATTTGTTTTTAACTCTAGAAGAAGACAACCAGTCTGACACATTTAGAGGTGCAATAAGAAAGCATTCACTTCTTGTTGCTTTGTTATTCAGGAGATGCCTTTGACGCATCCACTGCTCCAGTATCTTTACCACCTGCACGGCCTCCTACCAGAGACAACCCAAAACACAGCTCTTTGCTCAACAGGACGCCCTCCGATTATGATCTTCTGGTGCCCCCTTTAGGTAGCCAACCTTCTGCTGTTAAATTTTTAATGGTTAACATAGTTAAGATTAACCAAATACCAAGCTTATTGCAAAACAGAATAAAATAAAGTCATAGGTTTATTAAGAGTTTCAAATGAGCTATGAGCTAGATTATTTGAAGAAAACAAGTGAGTGTAATTATGCTGTGATCTGCAGTCAGTGCCTGTCTCAGTCCAGGCACTGAGCTCTATCAGCTTTACACATTGACATCCAAGTCCCAACATTAGTCAGTTGGTGAAGACTGATCATGTCATAGAAGGTGCTACGCCCGTTCCCTGCAAAATGGGAAAGTTTACCATGGTTGTATCAGGATTTAGTGTCATGCCAGAAACAGATGCAAAGGCAGTTTTAAATTCATCTTCTGATGGTGAACAGTAGAGAAAGCTTTTACTCTAAAAATCAGATTTTAGTCACTTAATATTGGAATTAGTCAAATTTCAAGTTCTCTAAATTTGGGGGGGGCTGACTTTTTGTGTGTTAATTTGAGTTTTCATTTTATCATATAAAAGGGAGTGACTAATGGAGATAATAAATCTGGAGTTTGTTTCCTTTATATCAAGAGATTAAGGTTTAAAGCAGAGTACGATCAGTGCCCAGAATCATCAAACGTTGCCCTTCCCAATCCTAGTCCCTGGTTCCCTCTCCTGGAGCCCCTCAACTTCTCCAGTTCAGCAGACACTACCCAAGCCACCCTCTCAGTCATGCTGGGGGTCTTATGCTTGCCCTCTGCCACCCTCTGTAGCCTACCCATACCTCAGTTGTGAAGTGTTGGCTCCACTAGGCATGCTAACCCACTATGCATTATGAGGTGTATTAGCTCACACTCCAATTACATAGTGCAGTAACAGAGAGCAGCACAAGGGGGAGAGGTGGGAATTGCACTGTTTGACAGCCCTGAACTACACCTGTCTGCTCCTCTCTCATAATGTAGAGGGTGAAGTCGCCCATGAATCCCCAGGACTGCACTTCTTGGCCTCTTGGGCCAGATCTGCTTATCCCTATGTAAGGTGACACACAGTATATATCAAATCCAGCATGGTCCGTACATCATCATTCCCCCCCCCAACTCCCCACCCACACACACAGATACACAGAGATCATCCTACAGTACTTTTCAGTGTGCTCTTTTATTTCAGTCGAGTGCAACATCTGCAGACTGGCCACCAAGACGCTGCTTATTTTACACCTTATTTTAAACCTTTTTCCAAACCGCCCCCCCTCGAAACTGAGTACACTAAAAGGTCATTCACAGCATGTTGTAAAGCATTCAGTTGTGCATAAAAAGAGCCAGTCTTACAATTTAATTATTGGAGTCACTGAACTTCTAGAAAACCCTAGGAGTGAGAGCCTCTGTTAGCAGCCATGGAAAATCAATTTTAAGCTTCACTCTTTTTTTTTGTACTGTTCTTAATGAAGTTTTGCTCTTTAAATGCAGGCGAAGATACGTTTGACAACTCACCACCGTCACTTCCTCCTCCTCCACCACCTCCCGCTCGGCACAGCCTCACTGAGCATTCCAAACCTCTGGGCTCAGGAAGCAGACCCTCTTCAGGACATGAACTGTTCCTTCCTCCTTCGGGTAAGAGTCACCAAGCAAACAAAGTTTTTAACGTATTTTTGTTTACAGCAGAAGCTTATCTGAGCTGATAAAGTTGTCATTGTCTGTTAGAAATACCTTTGCCCATAGCTAACTGTCTAAAAACTGGAGAGATTAGTTTTTAAAACTATAGAGATGAAACATCTCAGAGAATATAAAATAGTCTCTACTTTTCTTTTCCCCATGTAATAGATAAAATCAATATTTTCATACTAGACATGACATTTTGGTAAATAACATTTTTCTTATAGGAACAGTTATTTTAAAGTGCCAAGTTTTCCATTGAGTTCTGTGTTGCCAGTATGCATCATTTGTCATATCACCACAGAGTATTAGTTTCTTTAGGACAATATAATGTACAATTTAGTCTTCTTTTTGAATGGGGACAAAACTAGAAAAGAAGGGCAAAGAACAACAACATATATTTGATAGAACAGTTACTGTCAAATCTTTCTTCTAAACTATATAAATTGTAAACCCCACTGATTGCAAGGAACTGCAGTTCATCCCATTGTTCATGAAATTCATATCCCCAAATCATTGTCTATCTCTTTCAGTCCAGTTTTCAGCCTGTATATGGCACAGAAACTGTGCTACTGTCTTGATTGATGTCCTCCTGTTAATGTACAGTGGTTGGTCCTCCATGCTGATTAACTTGGTTCTGTTTGCTGCCTCTGATGTAGATTACTCCCAACTTGTGGGCTGGGGTACATACTATAGCTGTTGAGGGGTTCCCTTCTTTCTTCTTTGGGAGGTTTCAGAGGATGTTTCTGGCCAATTATCTGCCTACCCTGAGGATTCTGTTTTGTGGTGATCTGCAAGGCTCTGTATTGTCACATATCTTCTTTCAGCAGGTATGTGAAGCTCCTGAGGGATACAGTAAGGCATTTTGGGCACTGGTGTCAGTAGTATGCAGTTGACAGGCAGTTCTGTCTTGTTTTCATCACACCGTGCTGGTGTGTAGTCTTTGCTTTCCCAGCATATGGATGACATTTGTTGTTAGATTGAGAGCAAGCTGGCTGAGGTGCCAGATAAATTAGCAGTGATGTGAGTGGGTGGCATAAATGATCCTGAAAGATGGTTTGCTTTCCTGTCAGAGAGGTTTTTGGTTGTCCCTTTCTTGTCTAATAGGTTCACAAATTAAGAGGTTCTGTTGGACCCCATCTATGCCATCCTTCCAAGATAGATAATTAGTTAAACTTTATTTTATTTTTAACACAACCCCACACTGATACAGCTCTGATACAGAATACTGTTCTTTTACTGGTAATCCCAAAATATAAACGCAATGAAAAATCTGTTTGAAAAAGAAACCTGTTGTGTCCACATTAATCATACATATTGTTCTGCCTCAACTGCAAGTCGATAAGTGCATAATTTTTACCATAAATCGACAGTCTTATGTACTTTTCCTTTTAAATTACATTGGACACAACATTATTCTCCAGAAATAGCAATTATAGAAATACTTTATTGAAAAATTCTGCCATAATTTGACACTTTAAAAATTGGATAATATTTCCCACTTAACTGCATCACTTAAAAGGAAATAGTTAAATTCCAAAATCAAGATGATAAAATAGAATACACAATAAGAATCCATGGATCAGAGTTGAGGTGATTGTGTTGTGTTAAACGTGGATTCCTTTACAATAACTTGTTCATTTTGTGGACAGTGTAAGGTTTATTATGTCCTTAACTATTCATTCCTTATGTTTAAGTGCTTAGGTCGTTATTTTTCAAACTGTGGGGTGTGTGCTCGCTGTAAGGGGTGCGATGAAGTTTTCAGCGGGGACCAAAGGACCTGGTGCTGGCCAGCTCCCACAGGAACAGCAGATCCTCGTGCAAACTCACTTCCCTTTCTCCACGCACATGGTCTCTCTCCCACACCTGTGCATGCACACCCTCCTCCCACCCTCTGGCTGCGCTGGGAGTCAGCATGGTGGCAGCACTACCATATGCACGTCTTTACCCCCAGCATGCACATGTGCACACAGGGAGAGGGCAGCGCCGCCTCACACATGCACTAGTGCCTCTCCTGGCAGCGGGATTTCAAGTGGGGCACGTGAGCCTTCTCTCGACACGTGCTGGTCACGTGGAGATTTTGTAACCCCCACCCCCACCCCCGTGCGGGCTTTGAACTCGGCACTATCCAGATTCTCCTTCCCCTGTGCTAATGGGAAGCATGCCTAGGACATGAATCTCCAAAGACGGGTGAATTGGGGAACCTCTGGCTCAGGTTTTGTTACTGTTGTCATATGTAAAGGATGTTGTCACTTAGCAACCTGAACTGGGTTTTGAAATGTGTTTGTTGTTTTTGGAATGACCTTCTGTAGGTTTTGTCTTCCAAGGACAGTAGTTAGTGAGCCAACGTTTTCAAATATAGGTAGCAAAATTAGACTTCTAAACAGACCTGATTTTTCAAAACTGACCTCACAGCAGATCCCATTGTACCCAATGTCAATTTAGGTACCTAAATATTGAATTAGGAGCCTAAGATAACACATTTTTGAAAATCTTGGCATCAATGATTAGTGTGTTGTCATTTATTTGTACTGCAGTAGTGCCTAGGGACCCCAGGCATGGACTCGGACCCTGTTGTGCTACGTGCTGTACAAACACAACAAAAAGATAGTTCATGCCCCAGTCTATCACTGTAAGGGTCAATCCAAAAGTCATGTATGTATTTGGATAATTAAATGTTTCTCCGTGAAATACAACGTTGAAAGGTATGTGGCTCTAGAGGTGTTGACATGCTTTAGCACAAAGTTATTTACAGGGTCTACCAAACCATCAGGTAGAATAGTATTTTCAATACCTCTAACATCTCTACAGACTGAATGTTACAAATAGTTTTGTTGCACTTTTTCTGTTTATTTAAATGCTGTATTCCTTTTGCTCAGCAAAAAACGAGGCAAAAAAAAATCTGAAACATTTAGAAATCAAGTTTACATTTTTCAGTTCACATCACGCTATTGCAAGGAGTTGCATCAATCACGTAATGAAATATGACAGGTTTAACCCACCATAACACATAGCAAAAAATAACAAAGCATAAAAACGCAGGAAGTGCTTGTCTCATAACTACTCTTCTGAAATGGCAAGTTCATTTAAAAAATACCCCTCACCTAAAAGCTTCAAGTAAATGTGTTACAGTACAAGTACCTGAGAGTAATTAGATGAACCCAAGTGACACTTTCTGACGTTTTCTGCTATCTGTCAAGATTTGAAAGTTGAGTAATGTACTAGTACTCTGTACTTTTCTTGTCACAGTTCAATTCACCATCCATCTTGTCAAATAAGCCACTGGATATGGATGACTTTGCAGGTTACAAGAATCCAAGTTTCATGCTTGTGAATTGCAGGGACAGAAATTACTCTAAAATGGAGTACTGAAGATAACCTTGTAAACTGCAGATAACATTAGTTTATGTGGAAAATTATTTGGAAATAACATAATAATTTAATATAATTTATAAATGTTCACACAAAATCTGGAAAATACATTTTATGGTCACTTAACATTTTCCATATGTACATATTAGGTATGATCTGTACTGTCACTGTTCATTAATCTTATAAGTGCCTTTGATTACACGGAGACACATGCTTGTGTGGTTGCTGTTTCATTCTTTTTTTTGAATATTTCTTTAGACACTGATTTCCAAAGCCATATTATGATTTGACAGTACAAGCAGTACAAGCCTTCAGGTGATTTCACAGGCATGCAACAGATCTAGTGAGTGTACAGTCAGGACCTGATCATCACAAAAAATATATATATATCCCTCCACCCACTGTGGTAAATGGATTGAAGACTGACAGTTGAGGAAAGCAACCTGTTCAGGATAGCTCTTCAGCATTGCTTAAAGTTAAGCACCTGCTGGAGTACTGTCTTCAATAGGGGCCTAAAAATGGAGAAGAGAGAATGTTCTAATCTTCTGCTTTGACTTTTTAATCTGTCTTCAGTAATTGGCAAAGACAGACACAAAACTTGCTTACCCCTATCACTAGTTTCTTTAATATATGTTGGGGAGGGAGACTATATTAAGTTAACCACCTCCATTGGTTATTGCTAGGCATAGTTACATCCCCACTGCATGAATGCAAGTAAGTGTGTGTGTGTGTGTGTGTGTTCCTTTTGACACACACCCACACACACACACCCCTGTTTGCACTCACAATCCCTTCTCTTCTGAAGCTTCTTGTTCATACAGCTCTAATCTGGTCCCGTGTGCATGAACCTTGCGAACATTTTTAACTTTAAGTATCCTCTCGTTTTTATAGATCTCTTTTTTGATCCAGCTACTAGTGTAATTCCTTTGCCTCCTGCTCGAAGATTAACAGGGGAAAATGTCAAAACTAATAGAACATCACAGGACTATGATCAGCTTCCATCCTCCTCAGGTAAGATGCAAAACTGTGGTTAGACAAAGTAGCAGCCTAAGAAAGCAAGTAATCTTAGCTCGGACAAATTGGCAGACATCAGCCAGTGCATTGCTATCTTGTTTTTGAGGAAAGGCCGCTGTTATTCACAACAAAAGCTGGCAGTTCTCTTCCTATGAAAAACAGATAGGTAACCATCAGAGAAACAATAAAGATGGATCTCCTGAAAGGACATAAAGTCCCAGAGTGGCTCATCCATCCTATGGTCTGAAGGGTCGGGTAGACTAAAAGTGAAAAGAATTTTCCTTTTAAAGATTAGTCCTTTAAATCCTACCCATAGACATTAAATGCTTACGTGAATTCTGGTATCCTTTTTTTTTTTATAAGGTATTTTCCCTGTTCCTTTGGAGATCACAAGAGGTCAGAAGTCATGCAGGGGCCACTGTGCCTCTTGGTTCCAATTTTATTCTTGTATTGTTCTGTGGACAAAATAGAACTTAAACCTATATATTGTTCTCTCAGATATGTACCAATGTGCCTTCCGTGGCTCTGGGCACTGTAAAACATTTTAAAATACACAGGAAACCCAAAAGCAACTAAAATAGCATATCTAGTTTGTAACAACCCAGTCAACATAATGTAACAAATTAAAAAGATGGCTATAATATATAGCATCTCTGATCCAAAAGGAACCTCAAAATTTCAGTCCAATTATAATGTATCCAATCCGACAGTTGGATTCACATGGCTGGACCCTTGCCCCCACACAGATCCAATGACAGATTGAAAGTCTGTAAGGAGCTACTATGAAGGAGCTACTGTAAGCTGGGCGTATAACTGGTTGGAAAACTGTTCCCAGAGAGTAATCATTAGTTGTTCATAGTCAAGCTGGAATGGCATATCAAGTGGTTTCCCGCGGGTTCTGTTCAATATCTTCATCAATGATTTAGATAATGACAGAAAGAGTATACTTAAAAGTTTGCAGATGATACCAAGCTGAGAGGGGTTGCAAGTGCTTTGGAGGATGGGATTGAAATTCAAAATGATCTGGACAAACTGCATAAATGGTCTGAAGTAAATAGGATGAAAGTCAATAAGGACAAATGCAAAGTACTCCACTTGGGAAGGAACAATCAGTTGCATACATACGAAATGGGAAATGACTGCCTAGGAAGGAGTACTGTGGAAAGGGATCTGGGGGTCATAGTGGACCACAAGCTAAATATGAGTCAACAGTGTAACACTGTTTCAAAAAAAGAGAACATCATTCTGGGATGTATTAGCAGGAGTGTTGTAAGCAAGACACGAGAAGTAATTCTTCCGCTCTACTCGGCGCTGATTAGGCCTTAACTGGAGTATTTTGTCCAGTTCTGGGTGCCACATTTTAGGAAAGATGTGGACAAATTGGAGAAAGTCCAGAGAAGAGCAACAAAATTATTGAAGGTCTAGAAAGCATGACCTAAGAGGGAAGATTGAAAAAACTGGGTTTGTTTTGTCTGGAAAAGAGAAGACTGAGAGGGAACGTGATAACAGTTTTCAAGTACATAAAAGGTTGTTACAAGTAGGAGGGTAAAAAAAAATTTCGTTAACTTCTGAGAATAGGACAAGAAGCTATGGGCTTAAATTGCAGCAAGAGCGGTTTAGATTGGACACTAGGAAAACTTACTGTCAGGGTGGCTAAGCACTGGAATAAATTGCCTAGGGAAAGGTTGTGGACTCTCCATCGTTAGAGATTTTTAAGAGCAGGTTAGACAATCACCCGTCAGGGATAATACTAGATAATACTTAGCCCTGCCATGAGTGCAGGGGACTGGACTAGATGACCTCTCGAGATCCCTTCTAGTCCTATGATTCTATCCTTTTATGTACAGTAGAAATCACTTAATACACCAATGAATGTACTTGCCTTTGCAGTACAACACAGCAGCTAATTAAAGGGACACTGTCAACCATAAACCTAGTCAGTTTAAAAAGAAATAAAGTAAAAGTAGTTTCATTATTACCCCAATCCCTGAGTCCTTTGCCTATTTGCGGTCAGTTTTCCTGTTCTTTACAAATGTATTTTTTCTCCTTTTTGCTGCATGAAAGCCCATACTGTCAGGGGAAACTGGCCAACAGAGGCCCTGAGTTAATCATGTGAGTAGTTGCACTGAGTCATGTGCAGGTAGCTGTTAGGACTGGGCCATGATGAACTGTTCAGGGCAAACAGTGAAATTGTATGTGTGTAAACTATTCTCAAATGTACAAAATGAACACATTGAAAAACATGGTTTTTTCCATCTTGTCTGTCAGTTTTAGTAATTGTAGGTGTTACTTGCCACGTCAGTAGGTGATAGATTTTCCAACCAAAGTGTGATTTTTTTTTATTTTATTTTTTTTAAATACGGTAAAGTTGACATTGTTCCTTTAACAGTGTGTTACACCAGTATACCACAGTATAGATCAGGAAGTGAAGAACACATTTTCCAGTTGAAACTACAGGCAGGATTAAGCATGAAAAGTGCCAGAGGATCTTTAATGATCACCACTGTTTAGAACCTCAGTTTGATGTCTCAAATAAACGATAGCATTTTCAAGACTACAATTCCCCTAACAGAATGTTGGTGCTCACTATTTAGATAGCATTACTGGTTTTACAGTGCGTGTTAGTTTATAAAATCTTCAGGGAAGGGCTCTTGTCTTTCTGACTAGCAGAATGGGGCCCTGATTCTGACTGAAGGGCTTCTGGGTGCTGTTTTAATATACATATGTGATAATATAATAAACTGATTACCCTAAAGGTATTAGAGAGACAAGGTAGGTAAGGTATTACCTTTTATTGGGCAAACTTCTGTTGGTGAGCGAGACAAGCTTTTGAGCTTACGCAGAGCTCTTCTGAAGAAGATAATACCTCACTCACCTTGTCTCTCTAATATCCTGGGACTGACGCAGCTACAACAACAAGGCATACCATTTTCCCTCTGTGCCACTATAAAAACACAATGGTTGCTTCATCGATTATATTATTTCTAAGGCTTCTCTTTAAAGCTCACTTAGAAAGGATTTGCTTGCTTTTCACACGGTAATTTACATTTCTGCATAGTCTTTTAATGGATATGCTTTTTTCATGGGACTGGTATATTTTAAAGCCCTCCACAAAGGAAGCTGATGTAGAGAAGTTTTTAATTTCTTGCTATTTAAGATCCAAATAGTTTTCTTGGTATTGCTTAGTAAATACTTCATTACCTAGATGATTTGCATAAACATCTTCTAAAAATATCCATATGCTTTAACCTCCGCTATAAATATACTAATCCAGCATGCTACTACGTACATAAAAGTTTTCAGTTTAATTTGAATTAAATGCAACTGTTTGTTAAATCATGCTATGCTATAATTGGAAAGTTGTATTTGTAGTGGTTGTAATTCCATCCTATGGAATTAATAAGTTTCAGAATGAACAGATTCAGCTTACTCCAGGATTCAAAAAGACAACCTTGTATGGAGAATATAACTTCGTGCTTGAGGTATTCCTTAACCATTCATCTCTGATAGCCAGCAGTTGTTCGTTCCAAACCTGTTTTAGGATTGCTGTTGGACCTGTGTTAGAAAGGAAGTGAATGTAGTCCACTAATTAGAGTAAATTTTATTCCTAACACTACCACTGACTCACGGTACACCTTCTCACTTGACCCCTCTGTGCCTCAGGCTGTCTATTTATAAAATGGGAATACCTGCCTTACTATAACGTTCAACTTGATTGCTGACTTGTAAGGCCAAATGTGTATCTCATTATTAAGAGAGCTATCAGGTATATTTTGACAGCCCTTTAGAATTCTTTAATATCAAGAAAGTAGGTTGCATATGGTAAAATATAGTATGTTGTTTGTCTCTGACATCTATCACTTTGGCATCTAAGTACTAAACACAGCAATTTATGTAGCATGGAAAATTTCAAAAATGGCTTTCAATTTTTCACTTTTTCATTGTTCCAGAGGATTTATATATAACATAAACATTGTGATGGTATAATTTCTGAGGGAGTTCAGGTAAAAATAATGAATAGAATGAGGGGAAAAATCACTGATTCTAGAACTCTCTCTCTCTCTCTCTCTCTCTCTCTCTCATATTCACATACACCATCACCTTTTCGTCTCTTGCTCAGCTGCGATTTCCACTACCTAGGACATTTGTGCAGTCAATTACACCTGTGGAAAGCAGGTGTTACATGCTACAACTGGTATGAGCAGTGGTGAGCTGGAGCCGGTTCCCACCAGTTCGCTAGAATCAGTTGTTAAATTTAGAAGCCCTTTCAGAACCAGCCAAAAGTGCTGCCTTAGGCTCAGGGTTGGAGCACCGAAGGGGAAAATTTGGTGGGTGCAGAGCACCCACCGGCAGCTCCCCACTCCACCCCCGGCCCCAGCTCACCTCCGCTCTGCCTGCTCCCCTGAACGCGCCGCTCTGCTTCTCCCCCACCCCCCACCACTTCCTGCAAATCAGCTGTTCGCGCGGGAAGCCGGGGCGGACTGAGAAGTTGGCGGTGGCTTCGCACTCAGGCCCAGGGAGGCAGAGGTGAGCGGGGGCGGGGGGGCGTGAGGAGGGCCGCCCACGCTGCAGCAGGCACGCAGGGGAACTGCTCCCCACCTCAGCTCGCCTCTGCCACCCTCGGCCTGAGTGTGAAGCCACTACCTGCTTCTCAGCCCTACTAGGCTTCCTGCCGAACAGCTGATTCGCAGGAAGCTGGGGGTGGGGGGCGGAGAAGCAAAGCAGGGCGGTGCCTTCACAGGAGGAGGCAGAGCGGAGGTAATCTGGGGCTAGGCGTGGGGTGGGGAGCTGCTGGTGGGTGCTCTGCACCTACCAAATTTTCCCCGTGGGTGTTCCAGCCCCGGAGCACCCAGGGAGTCAGCTCCTAAGGTGCCACTTTTGATGTGATCAGTGGGGGGAGCAGTTGCTCCCCCCATAGCTATGCTTCCCCGCCCCTAGGAGCCAGAAGGACATGCGGGATGCTTCCTGGGAGCTGCCCCAGGTAAGCACCACCGGGACTCCCCACCTCGCCCTCCAGCAGGTCCCTCTGGCTCTTGGGTGGGGTGGGCACCCACTGCGGTGGCCCACGAGACCCTCCTGCCCAGTTCTGGGGGCAGTCGGGACAGGGGAGGGGGGTAGATGGGGCAGGGGTCCTGGGGGGGGGGCGTCAAGGAACTTGGGGGGTTGGATGGGGCAGGAGTCCTGGGCCGCGGGGGTGGGCAATGAACCCCTCATGCAGTGAGGAGGGAACCAGTTAAGATTTTGGCAGCTCATCACTGGGTATGAGTAAATGGAGCAGTCTGACTTCCACACTCACTTTGCTCAAATGTAAATGACTACCCAAGATGCAAGGTAGAGGAGAATGTGTATACATTTATTGTATCTCCTTAGTATTGCACTTAAATGCTCTGTGCGAAATGGGTTCAAAGCTGTGTGGCTTTCGGAGCCCTGCCTACAATCTGGCCTTTTTAATGCACTGTTATGCCATTGTCCACATTGCTCTGGGGTGCGCTAATAAATATAAATGTAAAATCATGCTTGCCTCTCTTTAAATTATTTATAAATGACAAAAGAAAAATTCATCCGGCTTGGTGCATTTTTCCTATTGTTACATACTTAAAGGTTGATTTAAATATAGTTCAGACTCCTCTTGTCTGCAAGCATCTGCTTGAGCACTGTGATGCCTTGTTGAGCCCCAGGTTTTAGGGCTCTGAGGAAGATTTACGCTTTTTTAGCATTCTACAGTGAGGCAGCAAAGTTCTTCACTCAGGCTCCCTCAGCTCCTCAAAATGAGAGATCCCCTTGCCTCTCTAATATCCCCTCGAAGGTGTTTTTTCCTCTACCCCAAATAGACTTGTCTGCCTTCCTCCACTCCACAGAGACCCTCACAAGACAAGCTTGCTTCCTCACTCTGACCCTCCAGCAGGCATGCTTGCATGGTGCTGTTTATCCCTGCTGCTTCCCAGACTGGCAGTAGCAGAAGCTGGGATGTGTTTAAGAAGCAGGAAGGGAACAGAGTGGGTGGCTCACTGCAGGGGGAAATGAAACTATTTGACATCATTACCCGGGCAGTGAGAGTCCTGATTTATCCTTTCCTCTCAGCAGCTTAGGAGGTCCCTTTCTCCCCACCACAGACTTTCTCCCCCTAACCTTCTGCTAGTGAGCCATAGTTGTTTATTAAATTAGCCGGTCCCCAGGCATTATCTCCTTTGGGATTAACTAGTTTCCTAAGGGTTGAAGGCATCATGGAAGCAGACATGTGAGTGATTGAGGCTGCCTGTTCAGAGGCTGAAACAATTAATTGAATTATATGAATATACAATTAACTGAAAATTCAACTAGAGATTTTTATTTTTTTTTAAGAATCCAAGGTGGCTGGCACATCTGAGTGTGTGGCAGGAAAGAAAGGCCTGTTTAAATGCCTCTGACTCTTTGTGTCCAGATGGAAGTGCAGTTTAAGCTTAGTATTTTTAAACTCAGAATCTAACAGGATACCCATAGTCCGCTAAAATTTTATATGGATGTGAAGATATTGAGAAGAGGTGTCAGCATTTTAAAAAAATGGGGAATTGAGTTACACAGAGAGTGAGAGCTGGAGATTTAAAAGGACCTGTGCTGTAGAGACATTGGTGGAATGAGAAGAAAATATATGTTGCAAATCTTCAGAAAGAATTAAAAATGGTCTCCCTAAATTATATTTGTTTCAGCAGGTTTTAGGCAGCATGAAGCTTTTAGTCAAGAAAAAACTCCAATTTTGGGTTCAGATTGGAGCTGCCAGAACTAGTTATTCATTCATTCACATTCTCTCTCTCTCTCTCTCTCTCCCCCCCTCTCCCCACCGACACCCGCCCCAAACTGTATCAAATTTAATTGTATTATTTGTTCTTTAGATACTTTTCTTCCATAATGATTTTTCTAAAATTGCTTTGATAGTCATATTTTTAGCCTCAGATTTACATATGCTACATTATTTGTCTTGCAATTTTCTAGTATTGTGCATGCTTTGATTTTAATTATGGACCGTATTCTTCAATAATACTGTAAATTGAGTTTTGTAAAATAAGTCTGAATTCCTGATTTTACTTATTCCTCTCTTACTGGTAAGTAAACTTTCTGAAATATTGCTAATCATCTAATCCTACAAGTATTTCACGCCCCTTTCCCTAGTAGGCTCAAACCTGTCTTGTGTTGTCTTTTTATCATTAGCATTTATATAGCACTTTTCATCTTCAGTGTCCTTTATAAAGACAAAATAATCCAATCTGCTGTTTTTCTCATCACCATGTTGTGCAGAAATAAGCAATGTTTCCAGCACAAGATTCAACCCAGTCTTTTAAGATGAAATCTGAATAAAATTACTCTCATCTATTTGTTACATTAACCCCACCATCTTTCTAGAAAAATATTTCCTGGATCTTGTCTGACTTAACAATAGAATTCCTGTACTGATGCTAACAAGCTTATCTGAATGCATAAAAACTGAGTCAGGAAATGCATCTTGAGTCGACCTATATCAGTGGTTCTTAACTTGGGGTACACGCACACCCTCTGGGTGCGAGATGCCCTTTCTGGGGGTGTGAGACATGCCAGATTTTTTTAGAAGGTAAATCATCAAACACAAATTAAGCAGAGGTATGAAAGCACAACTACTTTGTTTCATCAAACCTATGTATTTATTAACATTATACATTTTTTAACGATTACTGTAATATACAAACAAAAATATATTTGGGTTTAAAGAACTGACCTACTTCAAGGATTCTTGATAAGGGGTGCGAGAACATATTTTGAGAACCAAAGGGGTGCAGGCTGCAGTAAAAGTTAAGAACAACTGAGCTATATGAATGACTAGGTGGATCCATTGGAGATGTTTAACGTGCTCTGTGGGATTACAATCCAGATAGTCTCCCTGTACAAAACTGAATAGCTGTATGACTTCGATAATGAAAATATAATGCTCCTTTGCATTACAAGATATATCTGGAAGATTTGAAAAAACAAAATGCTATTGCCACCAGTGTAAATAAACTGGAAAATGTTATTGCCATAAGCTTTCTCTAATTCCATATCATTGGAACACTATTTATTGTCAGCAGAACTTTTCAGAATTCTTCTCAAAGGATTGAAAGCCTAAATAAATAAATAAATAAAACCCCAACCACATACTTCCCACTCAAAGCATTTCTGCTCTATGCCATCTTGTATTTAAGCTTCTTAGTGTAGCCTCAGCAAGGATAAAGAGGTTTGGGCAAAGTACCCAGTTTACTTGAGTCCTAACCCCTTGACTCTGAAAAGATTAGAAGCTGTGGTTATTCGCTCTTTGCATGAGGACATCATGATTCTTAGCGGCAGTGTTAACTGTGAAGGTTAACGTTCTTATGGAGCACTGCAGAAAGGCAGTAGCATACCCAGCCAACATCTGAAATGTATGAACTGTGATACTTGGGGAGAAAGATTTAGGGATCTTTTTCTCACCACTGAAATTCATTGGACTATTAGTTTTTTTGAGGAACAGAATGAGGAAATAATGATTTTTCTACGTAGCAAGCACCCGTGACATGCATGAAATAAACTACAAATGACTGAAATATGTTCTCATGATGTACAAGTGAGTGCTAGTTTCTCCTCTTCAGGTTTATTTGGTGAACGTCTTCTTTTACATAGTTTACTGATTTGTGCAATTTCCTGAATAAACCAGTGAATAAAATGTGAGATGATGGGGGGGGGGGGGTTTAAAAAGAAAAGCTTCTTTTAAAAAATCCTTGTTGGTCATGTTAATAAAATCTCAGATTGTTGAGAGTGAGTGACAATTAAAATTCAGATTTAATTTTTACCACTAATGCTGTGTTTATACTTTTTTTGCATAGTTTGGACAATGCAAATATAGACTAGTCATTTCCACTTTCAGATTCTTACTGCATTATTAACACAATGCTGCACTGTTTAGGTTGTGAACACTTCTGGCGAATGTTCTAATACAGTTTCTACAAGAATTTCAAAACTAAAGAAGGGAATTCATTAAAACAGTCCTATTAATAGGCTTCGTAAAACTTGGTTTTGAGTTCTCCCTAAATTTGAGGCCTGAACTACCGGGCACTACCGCATTACATCATGTTTAAACCAGTTTGTAGTGATTGTCTCTGGTTTTTTTTTTTTAAACAGACGGTTCACAAGCACCAGCCAGACCCCCTAAACCACTTCCTCGCAGGACTGCACCAGAAATCCACCATAGAAAAGCATACAACTCTGACACCTCCTTGGAAAATGTGGATGCAAAAATTGCAAAACTTATGGGAGAGGGCTTTTCCTTTGAAGAAGTGAAGAGGGCACTTGAAATAGCCCAGAATAATGTCGATGTGGCTCGTAGTATTTTAAGAGAATTTGCCTGCTTTCCTCCACCAGTCTCCCCACGTCTCAATCTATAGCAGCATGCAAGTCCCTGCAGCAGATGAATTGTGTGTGTATGTTTAGAACTGAGAGCAAGAGAGAGAATTTGAGAGAGAAGTTTTCTTCTCTTGTCATCATTAGAAGAGGGTCTGTTTCCAGCAGTTTATCAAAGGAAGACGGCTGCTCTGATCAAGACTCATAGATGGTCTGAGGCTTCTGTATTTTTGCTAGCCATACTTTTAAAATCAGGGTTGAACTGACAAAATTATTTTAAGAAGTTTACTTCCCTTGAACTTTGAATCTGTGAATTGCTTTTTTTCTTGTTTACAAGTTGGCAAGTTAAGTTTTCTAGTTGACACTTGTACTGTGTTCCTGTTAGATTCCCTTGTATGGTGGTCAGTTCAGCTGTAGCATTTGCAACGTTTTCCATGCTGACCACCCCATCACTAAATCATTTTTTTCCAGAAGCTCTGTATTTCCATTTCTCCTTTTATAAGAGGCTTTAGTGGTTTTTGCATTTCAATTTATCAAACAAATGCGCAAAAAAAAAAAGTATGTGGCCTTCACTACTGAGCGTTTTCTTCTGATATTGTTTTGTTATTGAGAGGAAAAAATCTGAATGTATAATGCATTATTTTTTGTCTATGAACTGCCTTTTTAAAGGTATTTTGACAGTGACATTGGGCAGCTTTTATTTTTATTATGGATTTTGTGACCTATAGTCTTCAAGGTCTTGATCCATGTAATTTCCAGTTTTAAAAAAACAAACACATGCAGTAATGAAACTAAAGAACATGACATGATAGCTTTTAAAATGCAAATGTCGATGTTGTACTTAAGTTACATACCAAGGGCACCTGTTGTTCATGCCTTAAGTATCCTCAGGCATACTAAATAATGGGGAATCTCGCTGAATTATATTAATGATCAGGTAAATTACAGTCCTATCTTCTGAAAAGTGGATGACACTTAATTTCCTGTTCGAGTGATTGTCCTCTGGTTCATCATGGCTTTAGGGACCAGTTCATATTGACATGAGTGATGCACTGTTAAATCCTAATGCTACTGTTGGAATACTTTTTACAATGTTCTTTAGTAATCTATCTGTTCACACTATTGCATTAGACTGTGTTTCATACCCAAATTCACTCATTCACTGTCCCTGCAGAGATGGAAACATCTTAGATCTCTTTGTCCTGGATGGAACAGTGTTACCTCAGTCTGATTTTTATTTTTATTTTTTTTTAATTTAAAGCATGGATTGATGCAAGCCAAATCAAGTCCTTTGTTTTTTGTTCTTACTAGAGACTCAAATTAAGAGTCCAGACTTTCCACAGTAATTCTCATATTGCTGCTTTCCTATTTTTGTGGAAAACACTGAAATTCCCCCCCCCCCCCCTTACTGTTGAACAGATGAACCACGTGGAGGGTAGAGTAGTTTCAGTATTTTAAAATATGGCCAGTACATGATCTTTCAAGTTGTGATAAACTTAGGTTGTGGTATATATTTATTTCCTTTTTATCTTTCCGTTTTCTCCTTTACTCATGGCAAGTTGTAAAAGTTACACCACTTAGAAGATCAGATCTCAGCGACAAATGGATTTATTTTAAAGTTTTATGGACAGCCAAACATCTCAAGTAAGGAATTCAAAGTCACTAGAAAACCCGGTGGAAATTGCCATTATCATATCATTTCATTAACAGCTTATTCTTTTTTTTTTTAAAGAAATCATTCCTTTTCAGGATCACAAAGCATGGCATGATGGCCATCATTAATCTGTCTTGGTCCAGTGAAACAAAATGATCAGAGGTATTTGAGCTACAGGGATGAGTTTCTGTTCTATTTCAATCTAAGCAAATGATTTCATGTACTAGAAAAGGGCATTTGCAGCTTCCTTTCAGTATTCATTCTTTGGGTAGGGATAACAAAAGCTTTTGGCTGAAGTTTTACTCAGTATTCTGTGTTTAAGTAAATTCCCCCCCCCCCCCGTTTTTTGTCACAAAGTATGCTATTTTCAGCTCTTTCGATTGGTTTCTTTCCTGCATCATATTGATAACATTCTAGCATTTCAGTCAAATATAAATTCAAAATGATACATGCTGTTAAGATAAATGTTGCGATTTTATTAGAATTGCTTAATTATAGCTCTAACATAACTGCCAGTAATAGCAACGATGGAAAAAAATGCATTGCACAGAGAAGCAAACAATCTGCAGATCATGTGTTGGAATTTCCAATCATATTGGATAAAACTGGCACGGATTCGCTTTTCTAAATTTTATTCAGGATCTTAGAATAAATGACACCATCGTGTTTCAATTAAGAAGCAAGAAGAATAGTCATGTAAAATATTTTAAAATTATTTCTACACAAGCTCTTTCTAGTTTTTTTAATAGCATTCCCAGCCTGTTTGGCATGACTTGTTTTTTGTACATGTGTTTAAAAACGTTTATAATGTAATAGCATAGGTAAAAAGAAAAGGAGTACTTGTGGCACCTTAGAGACTAACCAATTTATTTGAGCATGAGCTTTCGTGAGCCACAGCTCACTTGAGCTGTGGCTCACGAAAGCTCATGCTCAAATAAATTGGTTAGTCTCTAAGGTGCCACAAGTACTCCTTTTCTTTTTACGAATACAGACTAACACGGCTGTTCCTCTGAAACATAGCATAGGTAGTGGCTTTACACTCTAAAAATTCCATTCATCTTTAGATGATAAAGCGAATCAGACACTCTTACACAATGGAACATGAGATGCCTCAGACCTGTTTCAGTTAATAGATTTAAAGCCAAATTGAGTGAAATTGCCTTGCTAGACTGTTGATGTTTACTGCACAGGACTTAATAGGCTTGAGGGAGGTAAATCTGACAATTTGGTTCCCTAAAATGTCTTTAAAAATTTTAAAAATAAAGGTTTAATCTTGCAAATGCCTGTGAACATATGTAACTTTAAGCACACGACTGACTGTATTGGGTATACTCGAATGAAGTTGCTCAAATGCTTGTGTGTGTAAAAGTGGGGCCTATGGATCTATTTTCTACAGTAGCCTCCTTTAGACCACCATGCCAACATCTGCATTTATTTCCTTGATGCAAAATTGCTGCATTTTAATCAGATTTGCTGAATCAGAAGGTGAGCAATACTTATGAACATCAACGGCATGGATCCTTTCCAAAGATGATAGGTTAAAAACTGAAACTGCGCTGAAATAAATGAATTCCATGTGATTAGCCAATTAATGGGTTGGCTAGAAACCTAAAATGGCCACTGATCAAATGGGTCAATGTTGCATAATCCAAGTGCACATCTGGCAAAGACTTTTTCATAGTGTGAATTTAGATTTTTGTATCCAAATCATTTCCTCTCATAATTTCAGCTTGAAGCTTTACTTTGCACTGATTATTCTGAACTGGTAACCATTTGAATTTGTGTCTTAAAGCTGGACAAATTTGGAACCAGATGAATGGTATATTTTAAATGGATTCAGGTACTGCTTGTTGACCTGGAATTTAGTGCTTCTAGGAATGATTTCCTGAAAAGGACTGCAATAGTTTCCATTTTGAAGGGTTTTCTTCCAAATAACTATTTTATCAGAAAATGCCTTTTATAAACTTGTCTAGCGTGATAAACATAGTGATGTGTTCAATTAATTTATATTTTATTCAACATTCTTTTTCAATTCTGGTTATTATGTAACCTCGAGTACTTTATCTGTTCTTGTAAGATATTTTATAAAATGAATGTTAACAGAATACCAAGTTGGTCCTTGATTTTCGGTGGTTTGGCTATGATCCTGAATATTGCTGCTTGTGGCTTCAGAAGAACATAGTTACCCTAGATTATACTTTATAGAGATTGGGCACTGTCTTAAAAGCCAGAAAGACAAGTGTAAAATATGGTGAATCAAGGCATTTAGAACCACCCCCATTGCTAGTGTATCAACTACATTCCAGTTATTTCACTTTCCAAATTCAGCTAATAAATTAAAAAAAAACCTAATTAAAAAACCACAACCTAAAATGACCTTTTACAGCTTAAAAGCCCTACAGAATGAACGTATCTGTACAGTAGAAGGATATTGAATTATAAATACTTAGACAGTGGTTTATTTAAGCATCATTATTCTGTTTTCTGAGGTGCTAAAGAAATTCCTAAGAGAAGAAGCTATAAGGCCAAAGGCAAAGTACTTTATCACAATGAGGTAACTGGATTTTTGCTGAGAAAAAGTGCATCAGAGACCACTATTGTTGCTGAAATAAAATCTTAGCATCAAATCCTGCTTGCTTTACTACACAGGTTCCATTGGAAAAAAAATAGCCTGTGCACATAGGTGAGCTGGATTTCCCCTTTACATAACATTCAAATTCTGAAAATGTTTAGAGAAGATACACTCCGGAGAGGAAAATGCGATGATCTCCATTAAAAACTCAACATTTGCCATGTTGCCAGTTACACTGGTAAGCTAAGGCCTGGAATACGGATATTTCAATGGTTCCACCTGCACGCACTCAGCCATTTTCAGAGGAGAGGGTGCTGTAGTTCATTGGCCGTATGAATACAGTGTCAAAGATATTAGCCAGTTTGGTTTATATTTTTACAACAGCAGTGGGTTTTCATTTTCAGTCACTTCCTATGTTTTGCCTCTGGTAAGTGTGAGCAATTGAGGCCACTTGGAATCTTTTAGGGAGATTTTGAGGTTGGAAACCCAGTCATTTTATTCTGAATGAAGTGACTGGATCCACTTATCCCGTATGATGAAATGACTGCAACCCTGCATTCCAGTCGGACCCGCGGGTTGCTTGCAAGACAATTTAGTTAGGTTTGGAAATAAAATTTGCAATCCTGGAGCTTTAAAAATTACACTTGCCCTTAAGGGATATTTCCTGCCCCTTAGGGTAAATTCCATTGAGTTCCTATTCAAAATTAATAAATAATCCCACTCCCTCCCTGCAGGACGGAAGGAATTTCAAGGCTATGAGATTGTATGCAGGAGGCTGTTGTTCCCTAGGCCTACTTACCAAAGAAAAAAAGAAAAAAAAATCATCCTAAAGGAGACTTTGAGCTTCCCATAGCTGCCTATAATAGAGCCACCATATCGGAACCAGCCAATATAACTACATTGGCATTGGTTTCAGATAAATCAGTCAGCCTTTTTCGTTTGAAATAACTGCTTTGGTAACGAGCAGCCTGGGGGAGATAAGGTATTCACACAGAAGAAGGAGAATCCTGTATTCAGATTCCTAGGCCTGTCTTGCTCACATGCATACAAAATATAGCTGTTGTGATGGGCATGTTTTCAAGTTTAAATATTTCATCATGAACTGTTTTGAAATGCCTGAGTATCTGGAACCTCTTTGAGAATATCTGGCATAAATGCTCCAATCCTGAATTAGCGCATCTTCCCTCAAAGAGATCTTCTTTGAAGAGATGTCTGCTGTGCAACAGAATGTCATGGCATTAAAAGCATCAGAGGACAAAAATGCTAAGTGGTAGAATACCTGAAAACCCTAACAAAATAACCAGGAGCCTGATACAGTGTATTGGAGGAAATCCTCCTGGTAAAAAGCTCAGTTTATTGATTTGTGTGTAGGTTGTGTGTATGTTAATCAAATGATGTGGAAGTGGGGATGAGATTCAACCAATGCCTGCTAAAGAATTAGACTTGGAGTAAAAAACTAGGCTGTTGTATTCCCCTTACACATCTGTTCCATCTGGACAGCTGAACAGAGTGTGCGTAGTAATCAAGCTTCTGTAGTAGTCCGGGTCAATGCCAAGGGCCAAGTTTTCTCCCCAGATAGAATGGGAGATGCATATGCTTGCCCTTCTCTATCCATCTGTATAATGATTAGGAGGAAGACACTGGAAGCGATAATAGCACTGCCTTCAGATTGTCCTGTAAATGTTTATCCTCACAATAAAAGTGCAATAGGGAAGGCTATTTTCACCTGCTGTTAAATAGTCCAAACTCCCAGGATTGGGAAGCACTTGTATCATCAGGTGTCCAAATATACCTCTTTGCTCTAGATCTGTTCCTGTAATTCAACCTTGCATAAATACCATCTTTCAGACACTTCTTCTCAGAGCACTCACCATCATCTCAAACTGAACAAGGACCAAATAGTGTCCCCCAACTCTCTCTGCTACCTACATTCCTTATTATGGCTGTTAACACCACAATCTTCTCTATTACACAGGCCCATAAGATGGGGGTTGTATTTGACACTTCCCTCTCCTTTTCCCCCATGTTCAGGCTGGGGCCAAATCCTGTTGATTCATTGTCCTCAAATACTGCAGTCTCCTCCTCCTTGGGTCTCTTTGCTACCAATCTCATTCTGCTTCAGACCACCCAAAATGTTGCTGGCAAAATCCTTTTTAAGACTCCTTGCTCTCACAACCTTTGAGTCACTCTATTGACTATTACCTTGTATGTAACTTCCAGTGCCTATCTTCAAGACCACACAACACCTGTCCACATTTCTGATCCTTTCCCTTTTTCTCCCAATTCCCTCTGTCCATGACACTAGCCATGCTATCCTCCTCATCACCTCTGGGCTTCCTTCCATGCTCCCCTTTATGTTTAGAATGCCCCCCTGGAACTGTTTGTCAGGACTCCTCTGTCACCTCCTTCAAATCTCTCCTGCTTAGAAAAGAATACAGTAATCAAAAGGTGTATGTATCTAATCGAGGAATTTTATTGCTGTCACCCTCATCCCCACCCCATTTATAACTCTCTGGTGGTGTCATGCTGAGTTTGGTCTCTTTCAGGCAGGGATGGAGTCTTTTCTTGTTTGCGGGAGATAATTAGCACATTTCTGGGATGCTCAAAACAGCTAATGAAGAATCCCAATAGGAACAACCCTTCTGTTTGAGATGGCCAGTGTCTGCATTAGAGAGTATGACGCTTGCCTTGCAAACATGGTTTATAGTATCCTGAACTGTTGGGGGAGGGGTCACATGTAAATCTGAACTTTTACTATATTTCAAGACC